CTTGTCCTTCACAAATAGGCACTCATAATGTTGCAGTCAACTGCCCAAAATTCGCAGCTAAATCAAATTTTGCCGAAGATTGTAAAAATAAGAAGTAAGTCCAATTGATTTGTAAGATTTTCACACTATAAGCCAGTCAGTAGTTTATTTTATTCCAAACCGAAAATACACATTGGACAAACATAATTAAGAAAGATAAAAAATGCATTTCAGTGTGAAAGGAGACGCGATAAACCAGAGATGGTTAACTAGCAGCGTCACCTATATTAAAAAGTTTATAAGACAATTTTACAAAATTCAGATAACCGTTGTTTACCCAGAACGAGACTAAATACAATATCTTTATTACAATAAGTTATTTGACCAATCATAAATTTCTCGCTACGTGGGGCCACGATGATATCTACAAATTACGGAAGAAATAATTGACAGTAATGTAATTACATGCAATGAAATACGTACTTTTGTCAACAGAGCTAGACTATATGTTCCATTGTTACATAAAAATATACATAAAGTCAGGCATAGTTCAAAGGAATTTAATTTGTGAGTATTTGTATATCAATAGAATGGTATGCTGAATTAATTACAATAAGTATAAAACAACCGGAACTCTCCATAAATTGACAATTTCGGGAATGAGGTCAGACTACCCTGATTCTCCACGATTATTCCGACTTTATTGACACTCTATGCAACGCATACAACAAAATTCGAAGAATAATTTTTATTTGAAAAAGTGGAACTAGAAAAATAACGCCAGTGACGTTTTCTTTCTCGACCTATGATAGTTGTAATAGTTCAAACACTTTCCATGCATACTGATACATATTACTGGACAAAGCTCAAAAAATATTTCCAATTGATTGACGTTCTGAGCAATGAAATGAGCCATTCACGATAATAAAAAAATGGGAAATATGTAAAAATTGTTAACTGCTCTGTATAACGCTTGCACAGGGCATCACTCGTCAGTGACTATAGCACTCGTCACCAGCGAGTGGTCACTAGCACTTAGTCCCATGCAATTTGCCATGATACTTTAAGTATGAATAACATGAAATGTTAATAATGGGTGTAACCAGGAGCGTGCCAAACTTTTCTGCTGCCCAAGGCGAGTTTCTAATAATGATGCCTTTATATCTAACTTTAAAAATATTTTGGGAAATTTAGATGTTGTTATACATGGAAGTGAATAAATAAAAGGTCAAGTTAGAGCGAAATGTTTATAATATTAATTAAATCTATACAGTATATACTACATAGTATAACTAATATTTAGTATATATAATATAATATAACAATTATTTATAGTATACTTTATTTGGATTTGTTGAATAGTGGGATTTCATTGGACAGCAAGGATTGGTTAATTATATGTTGCTTTGGATTACGCGCATTGAGAAAATATATAATAACGAGGCGCAAGGAATGTAAAATAATCAATATATTTTAATATGCCATTCTTCACAATAAAGGCATTTTATTTCGGTTAAACTAAATCCGTAAACTTGTTGAAATAACGTCAATAAAGATATGTTTACTAACAAATGGATAAATGAGAAAGGTTGATAACAACATGAGAAAACAACATGAAATTAATATTTCTTAAGTGCCTGATCTCGAACGTAATCAATCACTGCTCGCAAATTTTGCTCAGCAGCTGGACAATTTTGTTTCATTTGGTTGGTTGTGTACTTTACCTGACCACCTACGAGTGATTAAGTCGCTCATTCGTTGAATTGTTTCGTTATACGATTGTCATTAACACAATATGGTATTATTAATATTCTCAGGTAGGTCGATTTGATGGGCAAACAAATTTCGGTATTAGATTGCGGCGTAATCCAAGAAATGTTTGCCTGAAACCAATTAATTCGTCAGGTCCGGTAAACACGAAGCTATCACACGTTCCGTTTAGTTGAACGTGCTTCGAGCAGGTTGAGACTCGAATATTAAAAAGGCCGGTCACCGACGCAATGAGTAGCCTCCTTTAAAATCGCAATTAATCTCGTTGGAAAACTGATTACCGCACCTGTTGTACCTAACTGTAGAACGCTACCTTTCAGGAATCTTTATACGCATACAAATCATTAATGTGGGATAAATATATCTCATCTGAGTGGACTTTTCGAAAGCCACGCTTGGGATAGAAAAAACTTTTTTATTAATTAAAAGGGTGGTATTTCGGAGTTTCGTCCAATAACAAAGCTATTTGTTGATTTTGTGACATCTAATGTACTCGGCGACCTATTTCAGTGAATCCAATAACTAGAGCGCTAAAAATATTCAACATACAAATGAGATAAGAATGAAAGGTTTATGATATTTCGTTTATTTGTGTGAAATTCAGTCTTAACAAATATTGTTTTGTGGTTTTTTTTGTGGAAGACAAATTTTTTAGCATTTATTTAATTACCTGTTAAAGCATACAATTTCTATGATAACGAGTTAGCCCTAATATAACCAAGATTCATAATCGTCATGAGAAAAACTAGACTCAAAATTTTTAACTTTCTGCATACACAACCTAAAACACACACCCTTCTTTTACTCCCATTCCTTAGCATGTTATACAAAGGGTGACGACTCAAAAAAGCCCAGGTCATTTTGAAGATATCGTCACGCTAATAACCGAATTGCGTAAGTCATTTTTAGCAGTTTTGAGAAAAACGTAAAAAACTTTCTAATGATATTGTTATGCCATTGAGAGTCAATAATTTGCCATGGTTCAATTTTTTGATCCGGATTTAAGTTAATTTGTATGACGCAGTTATATGACGTCATAATGGCGCACTGTGACTTAGGCAGAAATGTGTCTATGACTTGGGGACATACGCAATTTTGCAACTTTACTACATGCACCAGTCCTGAAAACTAAACATTCCAAAAACGAATGTAATTCTCAGTATCTATAATGTCTAATCCCCAAAATAGCTAATCATTTTCAATTGCATTCTTTTTTATGTTTAAAAATATATATTTCATCAATATAACACGTTCTGCACACCCACCGAAATAAGACCAAGATTAAATAAAAAGAATAAAACAGCAATGCACCCAATATAAAAGCCAACCAATGTGAATTGGGCTTAAACAGTGAATATCACAAGTGCACGTCTTCCTATACTGTAGTATAAATTCAAATTAATGCGCGCTAAGCTAAAATCCGAGATGCAAAAAATCGAAAATACTTCGCCGAGGTTATTTTGTCTTTGGGATGTCACAATAGTCCTGCGGTAACAATGATAATTCATTATGACGAAACAATTGCAAAAATGTGCATGTCATACTAAATCTTTTTTTTTATGGGTGTCGGAATTCCAAAAATAAAATCTGAGTTAACAGACAGGTGCGCAGCATTACATAAATACCTATTTTATAAAAAACTCAAAATCCCCAAAAATGACTTACGCAATTCGGTTATTCTTCTAAAAAGAACTTAACTATTGTGCAAACCGTCTAAGATTACTGAATATATTGGAAGCGATCATACACAAACAGAAGATTGTGTGTTTTCTTCAATTCCATGAAAGTAATTAAGAAAGTTGTTGGTCTCTTAGTTGAAATCCTCTTGTAACTGAAATTATCATTGCATTTTTATATCATGATGAACAGAAGTGCAAATACAATTTGACAGCTCAGTGGAAATTCATGAAAAAAAAAATCATTTTTTTCAATTCGATTCTGTAGATCCTAACATCAAAAACTTTAATACGCTCAATTACTGATTCATAACTTGGGGCGCAATGGATTATAATCACACTCTCACTCCGCTAAATTATAAAATGAATGATAAAAAATGTGCAAATGTCCAGTTTACTTAAAAGTTGTAATTTTTTTTCTTTTATCTAGGTATATTGTGCAATTCAGAGAGTGGCAATCATTCTGATGAAAATTGAAAAAAGTTCAATAAAAAATCTAATTTGATAAACTAGCATTTCTGATATCTCCAATTATTGAGTTTGAGCCTTCAAAATCTTGAAAACAATAATCATAAATATCGTTATTCTGACAAATAGTTATCCTGCTCATGTTAAATAATAAAATGAGATTTCGATTTCAGTTTTGTTGCGCAAATGAATCGGATATCCATTGAAAAATATTATTATTTGAACTAACAATGGATTTACTGTTGAGATAACATAATGTTTGAATGTTGAGATAAACAATTGTCGTAATAATAAAGGTTGCAATAAAAATAAAATATATCTAAAGGAGTAGAAACATTTTTGACCCTCAATGCAGAAACTTAATATAAAAATATAGCCCGCAGTGATCAAATAAAGCAGGCCACTGCTATCATCTTTCGCGCATTTTTGATAGGTAGAAATGAAGTCTGGTTCTTCACGCGGGCATGCTTCCGTTAGGTATGCGCTAATTTATTAGCATATATTTGTTTCCATTTCATTATCAACAATTATATTGGTTAGTAATTCTTCTGTATTTTTTGAAGAACTATCTTCAAGTCTTCAAATATTTTTCTAATTATTAAATTCAAGTTGCTTGTGTAATATATATGTAACGATTGATATAAGAATCTTGATCCCCAGAACGACCTATAAATTAAATTATAAGTGTTCTTTAGTATCTTTAGAGGATCATTTTTTTTTTATATATATATATTCCAAAATAGGGTTTCGTCAGATAACAGGACAAATTGAGAATTGAAGTTAACAAATCAATCATATCACCTGGATATTGAAGCAAAACTATCAAGATGTTGTTGGCTATTAAACTATTAAACGAGATTTGAATCAGTGGGGTCGCACATGCAAAATTTGGGAGTTGCTTAACTCAGACAATTTAAGCAAACCGTGTTCGTTGTTTATTTGTGCAATAATCAGAGGGAGGGCACTTTGCCGATGAGACGGTGTTTTAAATAAACCTTTTCGACATTTTTACAGTTAGGTTGAAAATATTTGGAACGATGATCACACCCGATATTGTACGCAGTTTTTCTAATCAACACCTATCCCATCACTTATTTAATCATCAAGTTCATTCAATAGACTGTGTATTTTGAAGATATCAATAGACATAAAAGTAAAGACAAAATAGATCAATATAAAATAAATACATCCAGAAAAAGACGAACCAAATAAAAAATTAACGTGAACAAACACGTAAATTATACCGTTGAACCCACAAGAAAGCGAATTTGTCGACATGATTTTACTATTTCACAGAGAAATGAGCCGAATGCAAGTATTAAAATTCCACATATGAGTTCAAAAAGTGCGAATGAATTTATTTCTCAAACAACTATATGACTTCAAATGAGTAAATGAATTGATATTACTATATATCAACAAAAACGTCACTACAGTGGATAATTGTAACGCAAATCAAACCGTGTTGCGTGTTGCAGAACGTGAATTAGAATTCTACACTTAAATTTCAGTATATCAGTTGCCGAATAACAGTTTGCCCTGCTTTAAGGCTTGCAGAAAATAGTTTATGTCCATACGTCGACTACTGTTATCTGGTATTTGCTAGACAGTGTCTAATGTTTTGCTTGACAATATATCAGAAAATTTCCACAATTTTTGTTTTTATGTGATAGAGTGTCCCAGTTTATATTTTTATTATCGAAGTGTTGATTTCTAACTTGCGTGTACTACATTGATCAACACTGAACACCAAGAAGCGAAGTTTGACGACATCTGTTTTTCGTCGCCAGATCGACTTTTCCAGTATCAGACGCAGCAGCGTATTTTTGTGACCTCTTTGAGCGTGATGAGAAATTTTTTAAACCACATTCACGCTTCACTGCTGGATGTGGACGACTGTTGTCCTTCCTCGCGTTCCTTTTTACTTCTTTTCCATTTCATTCGACGGTTTTGAAACCAAATTTTCACCTGCAATTAGCGAAAATTATAAGTTATTTTTATCAATCAATTACCAAACGACAATGAAATTATATAAAAAGATTACTTTTTTAGAAATGCAAACGCATGAAGATTATCTTGAAAACCAGCGTTTCATTCATAAATGTTGTAAAATTGCAATTGCAAAATGAAAATTTTTAACCCAAATAATATAAATTTAGCTAGTCTCGTAGGAGACAAAACGAATCAATTACGAAATCTAATCGTGAATTGTTAATTTTTTCCGAATCAATTGACTAAAGAAAATTCTTCTTTTTTGTTAGTTATTCAAAGAATTACACACTAAATTAAACTAAACAACACAAACCTGTGTTTCGGTGAGACAAAGATTTGTAGCAACTTCAAATCTTTTCGGTCTTGATAGGTACTTGTTCAATTTAAATTGACGTTCCAGTTCAAGTAGTTGTTGAGATGTGAACGCAGTTCGAGGCCGACGAGATTTGCTCAGAAGGCTGGGATGAAGTTGTTCTGAACAAATAAAATAAAATGCTAATCGGAATTTAAAGACAAAATTATTGAACCGACCAGACAAAATCGTGTTGTACATGAAACGTTGTCGGGTATTTTCCATAACCTCAGCGACAGATTGTATACCAACAGCGAATACTATTCTAGAGGATCAAGGTTCGCATTTTTCGCAATGAAGCTGTTTCATTCGAATTCATGAACGGCCATTGTTTTTATCCACATCGATGTTTGCAAAATTTACCTGCCGATTTGTGATTCGTTTGCTATATCGTGTTTACATCATGCGATAATATTTTGTAATTTATTTTCATCTGAAACATTGTTTTTAGCGTTCCTGTTTATTTTCGAGAAAAATTAACAGACTGGATCCCATCTTGATCCCATTTACAATGCCACGTTTATTTATTACTTCGATATATAAATAAATAATCTAGATTTCTGTTGACATATAACATAATTTTTGCGATAACATCGTTTTTTGTAGATAATATTTTACGAGATTTACACTCATTAATCAGCTATTACGACAATAAATTGGTTTAAGTCAAACACCTCGGAAATGGAAACATATGGCACCACAATTATTTTGAAACAAGAGTCGGAAATAACGGGATATTATTATTTACTGACAAACCATTACTGATATGAAATATTTTGTTTTAAAATCGTCTCAGTAGAAAATTGATCAAAATTCCGATGATGAATTCATCGATAGTCGGCAATATTACGTGATGTGCAGTGTCATGAATGATGAGATCTAGTCCTTTTTGATAACCATTCACCCTGATTATATTCGGCGTTTAACGGAACAGTTTTGCAAATTTCGATCTATTTGGGATTTCGGTATGTTGCGGTACTTCAATATCAAGTCATTTATTTTCAATCGCGCCTTGATTTCGGGGTTAATCTAGTAACAAAACGTTAAGCGTAGGTACCGCCGTATCGTCTCAATACACTTAGCCAATTCTTATCTTTCGCTCGTTCTTGCAAAGTGCAAGTTTTATCAGATGAAAACTTTTCAAAGCAGCGAAACATTGTATAAAATAAACCGACTGTGAATAAACGAATGAGCTTTTAACGGGAGTATGAATGCGTCTAATTAGGCTCATTTAATTGTTGTTTTGACGCTTGATATCTTCCTATATTTTTAACGGCCAATTAGCAGATGGTTCGCACGTGGAGCGTCGGTAAAGAATTTACCAATCTAGCACGCTGGGTCCAGCAGACCATATGGCGAATGGTCAGTGAAAACATATTTATAGTTAATATTTTGTTTAACAAAAAAAAACGTTTGTTTTGGCAATAAAGAATAATAAATAAATTTAAACGTAGTTCGTATTTCCAAATTACACTAGTCTGGATATTTTAAGACAGAATGTCCATGCGAACAAACTTAAAAACAAAAACTAAGATATATTTGATACGCTAAGCATACGTTATATATTATTATCAGACCAATGTCGCTATCGAATTCGTGTGAAATTTGGCTCTACTTTAAAAAAATAAGTTTAGCTGACATGTCACAAATATATACTTTTTTATGTGTAATATAACTAAGTCAATTCGAAAACAAATGCTTCTTCAAACTAATTGCTGGATATGTATTATATAAAGCCCTTTAATTTGTTATAAATGAACCAAAAAAACAAAATTATATCAAATTTTGATATAATATTATCTATGCCCTCAAAATGCTTTGGAGGCGATGCTTGAAATTAATTAGGTTCATCCTAACATTTATAGAGCTTATAAATAAAGTATATTCATATAAAATATTTACCTGCATATCCTGTTAGCCCACGAAGCATTGAACCGTTGCGAATCAGTTCTAGAGCTGCTTGTTGATTGGGAATGTGATCAAAAAGTCCTGGATGGATCAAGCCGAAATGAGGATGATATTGAGATTGCATCGCCATGTGTTGGGGAACAGAGTGCCTTTGAAAGAGTCCTCCATGAGCCAGAGCGATTGGGTGGACAGGGTGCGGCGCGGCGACTTGAGGGCGATGAATTTTATCCCTGGATGCTTCTGTATTATCAGCGGGTGATTTTCGTTCTACATCAACGGGAAAATGGGAACCGTTTTCTCCTCTGACTGCAGCTAACATTGCAACCATTGCAAGTGGGTTCATTTGATATGGGTTGCAGTTTGGGTAAATCCCCATACTGGTTGGATTTTTTGAATGCCACAGATGATCTCCTAGTACGCGGTGGTCAGATATAGATTCGCGACTGCTGTCCTGGTTACGAAAAGCTTCTGGATCCGGTTTTGGAATTCCGTTGATATTGCTTGTTCTTTTATCGGTAGGTGACAAAGATCTTCTTCCACTGGACGATGAAAAAGAACCAGTAGAATGTAGACTTTCGTTGTCGTGGATATCTGGATCATTTACAACATCAATCGCCGGACTTCTCGCGATGCGACTTTCGTTTCTTGACCCTTCAAATGGTTGTGGATGATGCCTTTTTGTTACCACGTCGTGTCCTATCAATCTTGAATGCGGATGCAAGAAAGACGACTTATTGGACCGGGAATCTTTTTTAGCATCGGACGACAGCAATGCATCAATTCTGAAATTAGAACCCTTGGAACTGATAGAAGATGAACTGTCATCACTGAGCCGATTAGAAGAGTTATTTTCTACCGAATGTCTTCTATATAGAGAGGAATCATTCTCTGGAGAAGATTTTGAAGCAAAATTCACCGATGCTGAACCTAATCTAGATGGAGACAATGACGTGGTTACTGACGACGTACTACTGGACGGCGAAGTGGCAAAAAAATCCCGCTGGATCAAACTTGGGTGCTTGATCATTAACGACGAAATCATCAAACGTCCAGCTTCTGTTTCATTTTCCGCCATCTTTTCATCAGCTTTTAAATTTAAAGTTGGGTTTACAAAAGGTACAGTGGGCATCTTCAGAAGTCTGTCGTCTGTGTCAGAATTTTCCTCTTCTTTCATATCATCATGTTGTGAAACGCTCCCGGCAAGATAACGCGACTGGATCGCGCTGACTGCTAATGGATGTGTATTGCTTGCACTCAGCATCATTGCTGCTAAATATTCAACTCGAAACTCGAAAAGTAAAATGGCGGACGCTATACTATCACTGCAAAAATAGAAAAAGAAACACATATTATTTATATCGTATTTTAAGTGTGACACAATTGTGAGTTTTTGCATTATTCACTCTCTCTATTTTGCAGGTAAAAATACCTTTTATATAAACATTTCTTATGAATTGATATTTACTACAAGATACATGATTTAACACAATAAAATCTTCAAAACTGCGTTTGCTAATATTTTACATAGAATTGTTACTATACTTTTCACATTACAACACTATTACAATAAACTGCTATATTCGGCTGTGAATGTTTTACAAAGTATATTTACGCAATCACTCATTTATATATGAATTTACTGCCATACCAGTAACCATGCTGTATATCGACTACGTGAGTGACTGAATACAACTGTTCCAATACAGAAATAGTATCCCTATATATCGGTCGAGAAAAAATTTCCGGTGACGAATATGATCGCTGGAAGATATCCATCCGTTAATATCGACTAATAAAAACAAAGGAAGGTAATATGGAGGAACAAAAACGAGAGAATGGAAGACCTCGACATCTCCCGTGGCGCAAGCAATCTCTGCTGGACGCCGAGAGAAGCAAACTTCACGGCCCATTGCGAAAATGGCCGATGCAGATAGCGAAGAGACTCATCAAAAAATAACAGGAAGATGATTACCAAGGAAATACCTCTTCGAGTTTCAATTCGCATTTGTTTGTGTTATTGTTTGTTTGTTTATTTATTTTGCGTCGCGTTTGAGCCTTCGCGATAGTGCTAAACCTAGACGTGACAAAAAATAGATCGCAGAAATTATCTGAATTATGAGAGATTTTCTCGAAAGATCACCACAGGGTTCGTAGGCCAATCATAAAACAGCGGGAAGTCAAATTTTTCCAATATGGTGCGATTTCACGACTAATTTTCATTCATCTTCGGTTGTTACAAATTAGTGCTTCGCAATCAGCCATTATTAATTAGCGCTATCAATGAATGTTATCTTAATAAGTGAGTTCATGTATGGTTCAAACATGATTTAAAACAAAAACATGTTCTTGAAGATAAGGTGTTGAAAATTGTGTTTCATCACCGGAAGGCTTCATAACAAAACCTGGCAAATTAACATTAAATGTTCACACCATCAATCAACTTATTTTGCCTAAAATCATAGCTATGTAGTGGAGCTGACTGATTTAAAATTGTCATTATCCAACCAAATCTGCAGCTGTTCATTTGCTAGTGGCAATACTTTTTCATGTTACAATAACCCAATTTATACTCATTTCGCCGTGCTTCTGGGACAAGTCGATTCAAATAACGTTAAGGGTACAGATTTCTGGGTTTTCATGAAGGACACAATATATTCACAACGATTAGTTTTATTAGACCACATAACTGAATCATTTGAAAATTAAAGTTCGCCTGTAGTGTTATCGGGAACCGCTCCCATACTGAACCTACAGAAAAAAAAAACATTATATACATAAAATTTTGATAACCCACATATTATATGCTTTAGAAACTACAAAACTTCGGTCCAGACGGACAGATAATCATTTGAATGCGGTATTGCGAATACAAGTAGACTACTGCATTGGAGCCACATTTGAACATCTGATTTCGAGCCAACCCTAATTACACGTATATATATGCAAAATACACAACTGAATTATGTTGGCATTTCTTTTTTTTAGTTATATACATTGGGACGTTTTTTGTGTAACAAAACAAGCCATAAGTAGCCATTTAAATTGTCAGATGAGCAAGTAACTTCATTAGTCGCTATCAGTTGCAAATTTCTTGTTGGAAGTCGTGCTTGTCATTGCTCAGGTATTATTCTATCACCTAACTATTATAAATATTAATTTTCTTACATACCAAACTGCGATATCTAAAATCAAGCTTGCAGCCTATTTTTCCAAAAAATTCTTCAGCGTTTGAGCACGCCCTGAACCCCAGCCGTGCGTCGCGCCCTTTTTGTCTCTTCTTTTTTTCAGGCCCGCGAATATCCTTGTGCTTCGAATTTTGGCCCGCGATCAATCAACTTTGGAAATCCCTGCCCTAATGGATTTAAAAAAGCACCCTATAACATAAAGTCTTGTCGGCATCCATATATATATGTATACATTACTTGAAGGTACATACAGATATAGACATCTATTTATATTTGTTGATTAGTCACCGTATTTATAAAGTCATCTGATTTAATAATGGTTCAACGCAAACGGTGGCTATCAAACGACACACCTTAAAGATTGGGAAAAGAGGCTACGGGATTTACACACAACCTGATACAGGCACGTATAATGGTAATATGATAAACGTTAATTATCTAAATTTCAATACGGATACCTGATTTTACAAGCCAGGTTCTTATGTACACCGTACATGATCAATTCTACTTGGTTGGTAGGTTATAATATCATTCTATAGTTCTATTAAGAAAATCTCGTGTGCCATGCATGAAATATCATAAAGCGGTAAATTAATTCGTACAATTTTCAGCCCATCCACTGAGACTAAAATGTATTTTCTTGTAATTATCTTTTACACGATTGGCATGAACAACGCCGAATCAACATTTCTCCCGTTCAGTAAACAAATTCTTATCTCCGAAAATTACTTTTATTTTATGTTTAGACGCGTGAATACATTTGCTATCCGGCAGGTGATTGGAATGACCCATCCCATCTCGGGACGGCACTGCAATCTATACTTTCATTCGAGACAGTTTTGTTGTCATGTTGTGGGGTCATTAGTGCAAATAATGACAGCTATTTGTTCAACACACCTGGAGGGACTTTCATTTCCTAATTGAATAACTTTTCTTATAACTAACCGTATTTGATGAAGACGGTAAATCGGTTCCATGTTGAAACAACCTAACCAATGTCAAAGTGAAGTTTAGATTTAGTATGAACAATTGTGATTGCGCTATAATTTCTTTCGCACTTTTTGTTTGTTTGTATTTCTACAGACGCTAATAACCGAATTGCGTAAGTCATTTTTAGAAGTTTTGAGAAAACTTCCTTATGATATTGCTATGCCATTGAGAGTCAATAATTTTCCATAGTTCAATTTTTTGATCGTAGCCGGATTTAAGTTAATTTGTATGACGCAGTCATGTGACGTCATAATGGCGCACTGTGACTTAGGCAGAAATGTGTCTATGACTAGGGGACATACGCAGTTTTGCAACTTGACTATATGTACCAGTCCTGAAAACCAAACAATCAAAAAATGAATGTAATTCTTAGTATATACGATGTTTAATCCCAAAAATACCTAATCTGTTTCAATTACATTATTTTTTATATTTCAAAATATATATTCCATCAATATAACACGCTCTGCACATCCACCGAAATAAGACTAAAGTTAAATATAAAGAGTAAAACAGCAATATACCCTTATTTAAAGCCAACCAAGGTGAATTGGACTCAGACAGTGAATATCACAAGTGCACGCCTCCCTTGCATATCATACAAAATCTCCATTTTTATGGGTTTCGGATATTCCTAAAATAAAAAGAGTTAACAGACAGGTGCGCAGCATTACATGGATACTTGTTTTATGAAAAACTCAAAACCGCCAAAAATGACTTACGCAATTCGGTTATTAGCGTGACGACATGTTGGCGAAATAACTAGAAACTTGTTCAACTATGACGTGTTGCAATTTTTTGTGTTTTCATTTTATTTTTTTATTGTTTTCATCAGTTAATAGGATGTATTCAAATTTTTCTGCAAATCGGCAATATTATTTTATTTCTAGATTCAATGATTGTCTACGAGGGGTGGGAGGTCTGAGTTTGGCGCACAGATAGCAATTAAATTCAGTCCAAATTCCAATTAAAACTTTTGATTGACACCCACCTATTTTGAAACGGATCAACACTCCTATTCTCATCTTCTTTCCCATCATTTGAAGAAAATTGCAAGTTATTTCATTGGAAAATTAGAAAATAACTTTGCTGTGAAATATCTCGTGTTTATCAACTTTTAGCCAATTTAACAGTGCAGATTTACACTTATAATGCGGAAAACGTGTGAGGGCCGATAACAATCAGCTGCAGAAAAACATCTCTTTTGATAACAAATATAAAATGAGAAAATTGACTCTAAATTTGCTACCTCCGTGGTGTGGACAGCATTTGTTTATATCAGTAATAACTATACCTCCCAATTACGTTCTTAACGGTATTTCATTTATAACAGTACAGCTTATTAATATAGTTTTGCTATCTCTATTTATTTTATCGTCGAATGTTTCATATTGTGTGCTTGTAAAGATAAACATAAAACTAATTTGTGACGCTAGCTACTAATCCATGATGTCAATATTGTATTCGCCTTATTGCCTGTCAAACTCATATTGGATGACAAGAAGCTGGTTTCATCACGTATTATTGACACTCGCAGGTGTGTTTGCTTTTCATAAAGTCTGTTATATAGAGCTAACCGACACTGGGCATGGAATTCTATAGGATTATATTAGAACACTCTATATACGTCGAAAAATCACTAAATTTGAGTTGCCATTTTTCAATGTTTTACGTTAGATGATGCAAGATCGTTGGTTGATGTAAATGTTTCTCACTTCTCACAATTTTATCACGTCTATAAACAAAAGGTTGTCGCTAACTTCTGCGAATGATTGATAAATAATCGAACTTATAGTTAAATCAGGTTGATCAAATAAGATATGATCATATATAATATATGTCATAATATATAAAAATTTTACTTAATTGGAATATTTTTTATTTGCGGTCAAGAAATTAAGGCGGATTATTACTTTTCTCACGAAAATTATATGAATTACTCAAATTTGTCGAATATGCAACTTTTGGATTATACATATTGTTCCGTTTAGTTTTCTTTGGTTTGCATTTCTTTTCTATTAAGGAAAAAATACCTAACAAATTTCCATACAGTCAAGTTTTACGCAAGAGTAAACTATATTGATAAACTGTTAATGACCTTTTTATATTTTATCTTTACCATCCGAAACAAAGAAACGGTAAAATGATATAATAAAAAGAATAACATGAAATTATAAAACAAATCTGAACGTTGCACCCGGTCAATGGCGGTATCAGATATGAATTTAATAAACTCCTTGACATCAGAAAATATCAAGTGTTCTACGTCTTCATATATTAATTTGCCTCTGGTGAAAGTGTAACACTGTTGAGTGATGTTTGTGAGCCAGAGTAAACAATACAACAATAAGGTTAAAGAGGAGGAAAGAAAACAAAATGGCGGATTGTCAAGTGATATGAATTTCGTGATATGAATATAATGGTAACGCATATATATAGTCTGTTTACTCGGATGATGACATCTAGAACACCCTTCCGAAAAATAAATGAAGTTGTGAAAACATACTCAGTCTCTATAGTGCTATAGCACCTATCGAAATTAACGAATACACGCAATTTATGCTTAAACATAATTTACCTGTAAATTATTCCTGTTTGTTTGTTTGTTTAAACCCC